ATAAAAAATTATGTATATAGAAAAAAGTTACTTTTCGGAATTGTCCAACTTTACGACTCATAAAAAGTATAAGGTACTTTTATTTCTAAACCTTCCCCGATCCATAACGAAAAACCTCTGAAAATTTCATTAACAACATTGATTCGTTTGTATAGGAAAAAGAAAATATCTGTTTTTAGAGGTTTTCCGGTAATTATTCGATTTTTTCTCGCCGTAGAAACCATCTTAGAACTTCAACGAACATTTAAAAATAATAATTTGCCAAATTGGTCCAGGCGTTGTTGAGTTATGCGCTTAGCAACACATTTTCCGATTTATTTTTATATATGTATAAGATATTATCAATATATTCATCAAGTTGTGGCTTATCACATCAGGCATTGGTAAATCACTCACTGTTTTCACCCATTCCACCAACGAACTGGTCGCAATTCCCTGACTATTTACCATTCATTAATACCCATTAGAGTCTTAAAAGCCTCCGCGTTGGTGAACTAAAGGGAATACACTTGCAATTCTTGACTTGGTCTAGATGTTGTATGGCATTTTCAAGAAATTCTGAATTGTTGTCTGTTGCTTTAAAATTCATCTAAAAAAAAAAAAGGAAACTAAAATTAGTTCAACTTTTCTTTCAGACTCTAAAAACGAAAATGAATCTATTGCATGTCGAAATTATGACACCACCTGGAAAAGGCTCATATTATTACAATTATAAAAAATCCTACTCTATTGTTATGATGGTAATCGCTAATGCGAAATATGAGTTCATAGCCGTTGAAATTGATGCAAACAGAAGAGTATATAATGCTGTAGTATTCTTATATATTCCTCAAGCGGCAATAGTTTCTATGAGTGAGGAAGAAATTCTATTTGTTTTTGTTGGAGATGATGTATTTTCACTGCAGACGAAACTATTTTCAATTACAGATTATCGAGAGCTAGACGGGTCGTTGAAAAAGCGTTCGGAATTTTGTGCAGCCGACTTCACGCTCTTGCACTGAGGATACATTTGAATCCATAAAAAGCATCGAAATTAGTTTTGGCTTGTTGTTATCTTCATAATTTCTTAACACGGAAAAATATAACGCAATATATGAATGACAGTATCGATATAGAAATTGTTACCATAGCACAAACTCAAAACATATCTCAGCAAACTACTTATGAACTTTCAAAATTAAGACCGCTTCAAAGGTCAAATGCAGCAAAATGTGTACGTAATAAATATATACAAATACTATTTCAACACAGTTGGCGAAATATCCAATAAAATATTATATATGTACATATATGTAGTGGAATCTGATAGTTGTCGGAATCAGAATTGAAACCGAACAAAAAACAAAACAGTAGGTGTCATGAATTCAGATATTATTGGTTTGATATTCGAAGCAGAATTTGTATCTGTTTTGGGTGTCACAGAAACCAATTTTATCGGTTTTGCTGCCAGAAACAAAGCAAGAAGATTGTCGCACACAGATTTGAAATGTAAGTAAGTTAAGAAATCGAGTTATTTTATTGTTACGAATTGATTTATCTTTATTTCTAGAGGAGAAAACATAAGAATAAAGTACGAAATGCCTTAATTATTGAGTTTTACACAAAAAAGTTGTTATATATTTAAACATCACCCGAAATTTTTTTGGATACGATTTCTTTGATATTCTGCCTTAGGGAAGCAATTTGCCGATGCATCTCGCGTGTGTATTTCAGAGATTCATATTTGTTAATAACAATTGTTCAAGTTAAACTAGAAAAATTTCAAAAAATAAAATTCTAAATTTTTTTAAAAGCGGTTTTTGACCAAAAAAATTTTCTTAATTTTTTTAGTTTATATAGAAGATAATTTAATGCCAAAGATAATAAACTCTGCCCCAATTCCATACGTTTACTTTTTTTCAATCCTGCCCGCCAATTCAGAAAAATCGTAAAAATGTTAAACCGAGTCAAAGTTTTCGCTCTCTTCCCAAGCGCTCATATATCGATCGGTCACTATTTCCCTTCTAGCTTCGACAATATTTCAAATTCCCATCTATAAATGTTACATATCTCTTAAAATCTTTCTTTAATTCGGAACTGATTAAAAACTTTAATAGGATTACCTCCAATGGATTCATTTGCGAGTTTTGTCACATTAGTAAACAGCTGGTTCGAATATTGGTTTAGCGTATATTCGAAAAGACGAAAATCCAACCAGATTCTGTGACACAATTGTTAATCTGACTTGGTTTGCAATTCTGACATCTAAGCAATTTTGTCTTGGATTCCACAACACCCCTGATAATAATAAATATATTCTAAATAATAAACATTACTCACCATGTTTTCAACATCATCTTCACAGCCAGTTTTTTTGTTTTGGAGAGCTCACGTCTCTAGAAATTCTTCATGCCATTAATACGATTTCACAATGTCTATCGTAGCACTCGAATAAAATTCTTTGTACTTTGTTAAGACACCGCTTACGCGACTATAGCCGAGTTAACAACGGCGCACAGATATTGATATCATCGGCATATATCTAATAAAAGATTGTACCTGCTCGGTTGAGTTCTGCAGCTCGAATTATATTCTCCAGCAGCATATCGAATATATCACACCATAGGGATTCGTCTTGTCTGAAATCTCGTTTGGTTTCAAATGGCTCGGAGACGTCCTTCCCGATCCTGACGGAGCTTTTGGTATTGCTTAACGCCAATTTACACAACCGTATTAGTTTTGCGTGGACACCAAATTCAGACATCGCGGCATAAAGGAAGTTCCTTTTCGTGCTGTCTTTGAAATCGACGTGGTGGATGTCGATTCTCTTTTCACGGGTATTTCCCAAGTTTTAGCGCTTGGTGAATAACTGGTCGGTTGTGGATTCTCCAGGTCTAAAGCCACACTGATAAAGTCCAATCAGTTTGTTTACGGTGGGCTTCAATCTTTCACACAATACGCTTGATAGAACCCTATATGCGATATTTAGGAGACTTATCCCACGCTAGTTGGCGCAGATTGTGAGGTCTTCTTTCTTGTAGGTTGGGCTGAGTACATTTAATTTCTAACCATTGGGCATGCTTTCGTCCGACCATATTTTACAAAGAAGCTGACGAATGCTCCTCATCAGTTCTTCGCCGCCGTGTTTGAATAGCTCGGCCGGCAATTCATCGGCCGCTTTGTTGTTTTTCAGATGACTAATTCTTTTTGGACTTCTTCATGGTCCGGCGATGGAACATCGACTTTTCGACTATCCAATATTTTGTTATGATTATACTATATATATATATGTTTAATAAATATGTGAACCTGATTTGTATCTTCATTATTAATTTAATAAAAAGTTTTAAGATACTATTTTTATTATTTATATTAAAGGATTTTGTACACTTTTTTAATTTAATATTTTATTTTCAGACGTTTTTTAATTCAACATAAGAATCTTAACTAATTTCATAAGAAATAGTAAATTACAAGAAATCTAGTAACAGTAAAGTTTAGTTGGTACATTTGCGGTATATATGCGAATCTCACTTAAAAAAATACACAAATATTATAGATCTTTTTATTCTATCACTACCGCATTTTCTTTTAACTTTAAGAAGTATTACAAGATTTCTAGTAATATGGTAGTTAAATGTAAAAGCAGCATTTGTATATATAAACTTTTTTATACATATGCCCATTGCTCATTTTTTTGCTTCGTTCATATTATTTAATGCTCAATTTTATGTACATGCATCACGGCGAAATTATAAACATTTAAAATCTGCCAGTTTCAAAAGTACTGTTGATGATTAGTGAAGGCATGATATAACACTAATGGGACATCAGTGTATTACATAATTTTTCTTCACTACACCAGGATGCATGTTACAAAATAAATATCAGTAGTTACCATAATTCATGCAAACAAATTATGCACTAAATTTTCTAGTTACTATTATGTGCTATGACACATGCCCATTATTTTAACCAAAATAAACACTAAACCAACATCGTACTAAAGGCTTAGCACTGTTTTGCGATCAGCGGCGCCATGATCTATCTTCAGATTCCTCATCTTCCTCTTCATCCTCAAGCCGCAATTCCGGCAATGTTTCTCCCCCGACTTCAGAATCATTACTCTGTTTATCATTACTAATTTGAGATGCGGCTGATTTTATTGGATCATGACTACTTAACTTTTCATCAGGTTTGTACACCTTATCAGTTATCAAAACTCCCGTAGTTACCGATGATGTTGACATGACCGGTGCCCAGGTTATCTAAATATTAAAAACATTTATGTTTAATAATCATACAATATAGGGGCGAGAATATTTAAATAACGAGTAATTATTAGATAAAAAAAAAAAAAAAAATAAACACATGAAAAAATGTTAAGTTCGGTTGCGTGCATCCTATAATAATCTGCACAAATACAAAAGTTTCCATACAAGAACTTTTTTTTTTGAGTGGTCAGTTTATTGGCAGCTTTATGTTACGGTGGTCCGATGTAAAAAAAAAAACTTTTAAATTAAACAAGGTTTAGGTAATGGTACACTCTGCTGCAAAATTGCTGAGATCGGGCCAATTTTTCGCAGATTGTACCATGACCTTAATTCGTGCCAAATTTCGTGAAGATATCTCTTAAAAAAATCCATACCAGGGTATGATTCTCATTGCTCAGTTTGTATGACAGCTATATGCTATAGTGGTTTTGACAAAAAACGGCTGCTTTGTGAGAACAAGATGCGTAAAATTTCTTATCAAATGTGGAACAGTTCGTAAGTAATTGCCCTTTTTCCCAATTTTCCGTTATAGCCTTCAATTCGCGTAACGTAACGTTTACTGTCTTCAATCGACTCAAAACGGTTTCAAAAGTCACGCGGAGATAAATCATCAATACGATGGGATCGGGATGATGGTATTCCTTGTTGACGGTTTGGCCGGTCGGAAATTATTCGTAGTGCACCACACCTCGAAGAAAACGSTCAACACAACTTAGATTTTTGACCTGCTTTGATGTGGTTTTTTCGGCTTCTGCTCTTTTGCCACGATATTCTACAATAAATCGTCTGTTTCTGGGTCGTAACCGTTCCAAGACTCTTCGCCACTAATAAACGTTTCATGACATCTTGGTCGTCAGAAAATATTATTTCAAGGTCTTAACGCAATGCTGTTTTTCGAAAAAAAAATTTGTGATTTTGGAAACAACCGGACTTTCACTTTTCTTATGATCAAACGATCTTTGAAAATAGTTTTCACTGATTCCGATAATCCATTGGTTTTCGCGTGAAAATAAAATTAAAAGTCTTACTATTTTTTTACTCCCAGTAGTACATATATACAGATAGGCAAGGTTGCACAGTACCACCACAACACTTAGTGTCATAAACGTTCAGATAGTTCGTGGCCTTAACCAGAAACCACCCTGTGAGAGAACGATCCTCGTAGCGTTGGATTTGTCAAGCAACGGTACTGCATAAAACAAACTACGCTCCGTCCAGGACTTAAGTGGACAATGAATTACCTGAGCGGTCGTCAATCATACATACTGTTTCGAGAAGGAAATTCTAAAATGAGAAGAATTAAACAAGGGGTTCCACAGGATGGTGTCCTCCTCGCTATTGCTTAACTTCTATATCTCGATGCAGCGGTAGATGAAGAAGCTTCAGAGCTGTATAGTGAGGCGCTTATGCTACCAGTTAAGGGGCATAATGAACTCCTCTCCAAGCAGTTCCTGCTGGGATGTTTTCGCAGAAACATCATCTGTTTGGAGCGGAATGGTCTCCTAGAAACATCAAGAGGTCATTCCTCAACTCCTCTTTGAAGTTGGTCGCCTTGTCGTGGAGAAGGGTCTTAAGTAAGAGTAAAGTGTGCATCTAAAAGGAAACGCATTTTAATCTTACGAACTAAGAGGGACACCTCATAATTCCCACAATAGTGATATGGATGAATAAACCCTAGGTTTTACGCTTGTAGAAGTATGAGGATACCGGCACCAACACCACCCTAAGCCAAGGTGTCGAGGTACCCGTGCCGAGGGCTGAATGGTCAGCGGGTGACAATAAATAGCTGATCGCGAACGGCCCCCTCTGATGCCCGGGCGAGGTTGGAGGTATAAAAGCCTTCTCTCCGCATACCAGCTCTGTGGAAGAGTGACCAACCCTTTTCGGCTTACTCGTGGGACTAAAAAAGAACGAATTCAAGAACTCCACAACAACAACCAATTTGACGACAACAGCGACATGAATTACAGGATTCCCATTACGGAATCCGAGGAGGACGAATTAGAGTACTGCCGGACATACCAACCAAAGTGGTATGGGAGGAAGCGTCCACCTCCAAAGCTGCCGTGAGCACCCACCAAAGTGCACTAGCGGCTACAGGAGAAAACAAAAAGAAGCGCAAGAAGTCCCAGATTCACCTAAGGAAAACCGGCACCAGAGGGCGGTCTTCAAACTAAGGAAGGATAGCCAAAGATCAAGCAGCCGGTACTTCACCAAAAAGGAATCGCTCTATCACAGAAATACTAGAAACTCTGCCCAAAAAACCTAAACGGAGTGAAAGTGAACACAGCAGCACAACAATGCCGAGGCATTTCTGTGATGTAGCCAGGGATAGCCTGCAAGTAGTCATCATAGATGGAAATTCCTTCTCTCCGAGCACTATACAAGGACATTCAGAAGAGTCTTCGTACTCGCATTTAGCTACTCCCTCTAGAGGAGCCAATCGAAAAACTCCTGAAGTGCATCAAGCTGCAGAACAAATCTATACCTGGTAAAGATAAATGGCAGCTGATCAAGGAGGAAAAACCGAATAAAGCAAGTAGACCAATACTGGTGGCCATTTGCGATGAGTCCATTGAGGCTCTCAAGAAGATTGACTACAAAATCAGCTTCGGAATTCGCAAGGCCATACTAAAAATCTTCCAAGGCGACAAAGCGGCTGACGAAGACGACACGGAAGAGGTCGACGACGCCAGCCAGTTGCTAAGGAATGTGGACTCGAAGAGTGCTACAGCGAATCTGACATCCCTCGTGAACGAGGGGGCATCGACATCAGTCTAGTACAGGAGCCCTGGGACAATGAAAACAATGATAAAGGTTTTTACACACGGAACAAAAGTAAACCTAGGGCATGCATTCTTATCAATAGAAGTATAAATGCATTTCGTTGTCCTAATTACAACACAGCAGATATGACAGTAGTAAAGGTGGAACAGAAGGAAAAGCCCTTCTTCTTGGTTTTGCCTACTTAGCTCATGACGAAGACATACCACCGACCCCGTTCACCAGACTAGTAGAATAGAACAGGAAGAAAGATGTCCTAATAGGGTTTGATGCAAACGCAAGGCACATTGTATGGGGTTGCTCCAGTATAAACACCAGAAGTGAGTCACTCTTGCAGTATATTCTGATAGGTTTCCGGGTGCGAGGAAGTGCTGGACCCCCACCCTATCAACAGACACAGACAGTCTCGTTGTGAATAACTGGATCCATGTCGGATCACTCCTGGATACTCTTCAGCATCCGCGAGAAATAGAGTGCTCCTCTCACATGTCGGAAGCCGAGAAGAACAGCGTGGGAAAAATTTAGCAGTATAGCAACAAAATGCCCTAAAAAGGGAGGCAATGAGAGTATTAGAAATCCTCGGGAACTATATTCAGAAGTAGAAAAACAAATTTTAACCACAACATTCAATAAATCCACTCCGCTAACAGTTTTGAAAAAGAGAAAGTATCTTCCTTGGTGGAACAGTGAAATCAAGAATTTGAGAACACAACTAAGAAAAGCTTTCAGAGTTTTAGAACAAAAATGTGGCAGCCATATAAAGATATTATCAAAAGATACTCATGGCGATCTTTCTGCACAGAAAAGTTGCAGAGAAACCACTAGGCTATCCAAATATCATATTAATACTGCCTATATTAGGGCGGAGGGAAGTGATTGGACCTCCTCGGCAAAAGAGTCTCTGCAGGTACTAATTACAACGAACTTCCCCGGGAGTCAGAAAACACCTTCAAGGAGGGTTCAACCAGAACCACCGTAGAACGCAGCTGATTATCGAAGCCAAATAGTAGACAAAAGAAAAATCAAATATGCCATAAATAGTTTTGCACCATTTAAAGCCGCAGGTCCTGACGGGATTATGCCCATCATGCTACAAAAACTGGTAGAACCAATAGTTCAAAGGCTTGAAAATATATACAAAGCTAGCGTACAACTATCGTACATCCCAAGAAGTTGGAAATGAAGTAAAGTTGTGTTCCTTCCAAAACCAGGCAGAAGAACGGAGAAGTTATAGAAGTCCAACATGCGTACATAAAGGGCCGATCAACCGAAACTGCCTTTCACGAGGTGATAAGTGTAATTAAAAAATCATTACACCACAAACAATACACCATGGCTGCTTTTCTAGAACTAGAGGGTGCCTTCAATAACATAGAAGTAAATACTGTAATTAATTCTCTGGCACATGGTGGTATAGATGACACTGTGTGCAGATGGAGAATAGGAAGATTATAGCTTCAAACTGCGCTGCACAAACAAGTTATGTGAGTAGAGGGACGCCTCAAGGCGGGGTTCTCTCTCCGATTCTATGGGTTGTAGCGCTGAACAAAATACTACCCCAACTAAATGGTGGAGGAGTGAAAGCAGTAGCGTATGCAGACGATATAGTGTTGTTGGTATCAGGCATGTTTCCTTCAACAGTCAGCGAGATTATGGAAAGAGCACTTCGAAGGTTAAACCTATGGGCTAAAAACAATGGACTAGGAGTTAACCCGAACAAAACAGAACTGATGCTATTCAGAAGTAGAACCAAGATCCCTCAGTTTCAACTTCCTGTACGAAACGGTACAATACTCACTCTATCCCCAACAGCTAAATACTTGGGCACCAAACTTTCCTGGAAAATAAATATAGAAAAAAGAATAAACAAAGCATACAGGCCTACTATAATTGTAAAAGAATCGGCTACAAGAATTGGGGCCTCAAAAGAAGTTTATTAATGGGGATGTATACGACTGTCATAAGACCTTTATTTACATATGGAACTCTGGTATGGTGGCCAGCGCTAAACAAACAATACAACATTAAAAAGTTAAATGCTATACATGCGCGGGTGTTACTGGTGCAATCAGGTCATGTCCGATTGATGCGCTCATTGTAATCCTGCATAAACTAACAATGAACATTTTTATTCACAAAACAGCATCTATTGCGGCGATAAGAATAAAATAATTGGGAGGTTGGAATCAGCAGAACTACGGACATATTGTAAACCTAAACAAGCTCATCATTAATAATTCAGACTACATTCTCCCAAAGCCGGATTTAAATAGACACTTCCAGTTGAGAATACCATCTAGACGAGAATGGAGAAGACGTTCAATAGGAAAGGAGGATACCATCTCAGTCTATACCGACGGGTCCAAAATGGACTGCGGGGTAGGCACGGGGTATTCTCCGCTGATCTAGGTATATCTCGCTCTATACGTCTACCGAACTCGGTTAGCATCTTCCAAGCAGAAGTACTAGGTATAGAAAAGAAGTTCTATTAGAAAACCACGGGAATATACATAAAGCAACTATATTTACGGATAGCCAGGCGGCGCTCCTGGCTTTGCCTTCACCCTTGACAAATTCCAGCATAGTATAGTTCACAACTGCAAGAGAGCAATAACCTCAATAAAAGACAAGTTCCAATTAAACTTGATCTGGGTTCTCGGCCACAAGAATTTTTTCGGTAACGAAAAGCAGACAAGTTGGCAAAGTCAGGAGCTTTCCCAACGAATCCGAGGAGGAACTAATACCAAGCCCGCTAGGATCCATAGACAATTTCAACAAGTTGAAAATACCAGATGGAAAAACATTACAAAATACATCATAACTAAACAATTATGGTTTTATAGCGCTTAAACACGAAAATGTTGGGCGCGGAATCACTTTTGCTCCCCACTCCATATGCATATGCCAAACAGTATGATACAATTAAGCAGTTAAAAATTGTCATTGTATCAGAGTGGGACAAAATTGAACTAACTACTCTACAAAACTTAGTATGTGCCACGAAGACTGTGCATGGTAAAACTTCAAAAAAGTGTTACTATTAGTACTAAACTTCAATTACTTAAAGTTATTTTTATTATATACGTGTTAATATAATATTGGATATGAATTTTAAGAAGTTTCTATTTTGCACATATAATTATTTTCTATGGAATTTAAATAATATGTAATTGGGATTTTGTTTTTGTTTACTACATCATATAAAGCCATAAATAAAACTATAAGCCATAATATATATATATATATATTCTGTTTTTGATACTTTAAATTCAGGTTGATGTATTTCACATATAATTCTTTTAGAAGGTATTTGTGTTGTATTGTATTTTCGCCTTCCATTTTAATTAACATATTCCATTGAATCAACCGTATTTTCTTATTCTCTTACATATTTCTGCATTATTTTGAAACCAAAACAAATAATTTCAAAGTTTAGGGAGAAATTAAGAATTTGGTAGTTACAAAGTTATGTTACAACTCTTACCTGCAGTCGCTTATCTTTGAAAACTTTTCCGCGCAATACAGCCTGCTCCGCATTTATTCGTGTAGCATAGGATAATATTAGTTGGGGTATTTCTTTATCCACATCATGTTTAGTTATTTCTCCAAAATGCTAAAAAGTTAGAATTTCTTTACTTCCAAAAGGTTCAGTTTCATTATATAGGTAACATTAAAACCTACTACTTGTTCTTAAGGGGTTATATACACTTGTGTGGGTTGGAGAAATCGATATTTATTATTGCATTTTCTTAAAGTAAATAATTTTAAGATATATACAATGTTACAGCTGTCAACAACGCTTTTCCATGTGTCCCCTATCGCGATTATCTCAAAATGATGCTTTTTAAAAAGTACCGTTGCTGAGAGCAAGGTTTGTCATAAATCATATGACTTATCGATATAATTTTTTATTGGCTACTTGAAAACTACAATCTCATGCTTATCGAAGGATTTGTTATTTTTTTTTGTTTTGTTTTGTTAAATACAATTTATTTGCAATCTATTTTAGTAAATAATAAGCAAATTGGATAAAAAAAAAAAACATTATTTGGCTTATATTTTTGATCTCATGGGAGATATAAAATATATACAATATGTTCTAAATATAAATGCTTATACAAAAAATTTAATTATACATTTAATATCGTAGTAACATATGTAATTTAACATTTAGTTGTAATAGTTTCATTACTATCATCTAATAACATGACTGCCAAAGGATTGTCATGGTAACTTATCTTGAGCAAATATGCTGAACTAAATCTTTTAATTTCATCATTAACAAACGGTATATTCAGGTCTGAATGAATGGCTTTATTTGTTATGAACCATGGCTGTTATTTTATTGTTATTTGAAATAAGAATTCTTTTGGAATGAAAAAGCAATTTTTAGACCCACAAAAATCGCTATTTTCAGTAAAATCATCACTATTTGCGGCTTTCGTTCAAGTACGGCGATATGATATAAACTAAATAAAACGTTTTTTTGTGCTCGCCGGAAAAGTTGTATGACAAAAAGAGTATCGGCACAACAGCTGTAGTGCTAATAAACGGGTACATTTTTCACGAAGAATTAAAATTTACACCTTTAATCATATATAAAAGTATGAACAATGTCTTTTATAAAAAAAATAAAAATAAAAAAAATAGTAAATAAAAAAATTTAAAAAAATAATAGAATATAACTTTATAAAACCCCTTAAGTGAAAATCTGTAATTTTTTTAACTTACCTTAAAGTGGCCTAACACGAAATCCGCTTCCTCACTAGTAAAACCAGTAACTACTATCGTTTTTGGTCTGCGGTCAACGCGAGTAGATCCCTCAGGAAACGATGGACGGGATCGGGGATTTTTTCTTCCAGAGGGGAAGTGAGGAACTTTGCTCCCTATTGGTAACGGGTGAGAAGATACAACACCAACGGCTGCACTACCAGGAACGACCCCAAGACTGCGCTGCAGTTCTTCAATGCGCTTTTGTATGGCCGTAGTATCATTTCCCTCCTGTTGTTGAGCTATTAGTTCCAATTCTATATCCAGCAATTCTTTCTTTTGTTGCTCCTTCGTTTTTTTTGGTGGAATTGGATGTTGGTTTTGAATTTGTGCTTGGATTTGTTCTTGTTCTGCGGCAATCTCCTTACGTAATTTATCAATAGTTTCTTGCAAGACTTTTATAGTGTCAAGGGTTTTAGTTCGTTGGGGGTCATTTGGTTCGCAACGTTCTACTATTTCCAAAGCAGATTTCATCTGTTTTACATAACTTTGTAATAGTTCCTGTTTCCTTTTCCGTAGTCCATTGGCGAGTTGTACAACAGCTTTAGCTTGCTCTTCTTGTTTCTTACGTATTATGGCATTTGTTGAACCAGAGTTGTGACTACGTGATACATTGTTTTTTAATCGCAAAGATGTTGCCGGTACATGGGCGGCAGCTAGAGGAGTGCTAACGTTTGTTGCGTTCGATGTATCACATGCAGGTATGCCTCCAGACGGAGTAATACTCGGATTTGCAACATTTTCATTCGGTGTTTTTGCTGAATCAGCTGCCGGAGTTGGAACAGCTGGGACGTTATTTAAATGATATTGACTATTTTTTCGTGTATTACCCATTGTCATAGGGGCCATATCACTTATTAATGTATTTGTATCTTGGCTGTGCCAAAATACTTTTATAAAGCGATTGTTAAGCACAGCTTCTGTACTACGGTATGCAACATTTGCTTCGGCATGTGTTGAAAACGTTATAATAGCTGCTTCGGGATCACCATCATAAGAAATTTGTATATTTACAATTTTGCCAAATTTAGCAAAGTGATTATTAAGATGTGCGATTGTATTCATGCCGCGTGGAATCTTTCGTAACTCCAGAGAACAGTTACTTTGTATACTTGGTAAACGCGGACCAAGACGACTGTTAAGTGGCAACTTACGTTTAACGGGCCCTTCAGCAATAGCCACCGAGTCTTCTAAATCAAAACGACGCTTACCCTGTGCCATTTGAGTTATATCTCCACCCGATCCAGGATTACCTGCATCAACAACAGGAATTGGAATTAATTCTCGTTGCAGTGGAGCTGAAACGGATGAAGAATTGAAAGGGAAAGAAAGCATCGGGGTAGCAACTCTAAAACCGGAGCCAGCGTTGGTATTTCCAGTGTAGTCTGCCGCAATTGAACCAGGGTTGTTTTGTTTATCTGCAATAGCACCAAGTGGAGGAAACCCAACGGCTGCTACAACTCCAGAAACCGGCATTATTCCTCCTGACCTCGCTACACCAGTGAATGGATTAATACCTGAGGCATTAACAGTACCACTTACTGTCGATCCACCTGTCAATAGCGGGTTAGAAGAAACCATTGACCCAGAAGATCTCATCCATAAATCTGGTGCATCTGGGTTATATTCCGGAAGGGACATTCCAATTAAGCCGGTATTATTTATATCTTCAAACACAACGGGATTAATCCCATGGTCCCAAGGGCATGTTTCTCCTCGAACGCAGTAACCTTTTTCATCAAAATCACGGCATCGTTGCCGCTTTTCTGATTCATGTTGTAAATGTGTATGATTAGTATGACGATCAGGCGACCCGCGAACGATTCTTGATACATTCGGTGATCCCTTACCTCTGCCTACACGTTCAAGAGAAGGTGAACGGCTGCGTGAATTTGACCGGTTCAGTCGGTTTTTACGACCAACACCCTCTCCACCGTTTCCTACAAAACGGGGTGATCTTTCGTCTGAACCTGTCATGTTGCTACTGTTACCAATACGTCTACGTTCCGTTCCACTACCGCCAGCACCTCGCCTACGCTCATGAGATCCTACATGCCGAAAGTCTATTGTTGGTGGAGATTTATTGCGAAATTGACGTTGCATTTTTTCACGCTCATTTATTCGGCGATCACGAGAACGACTTCGGCGTGAATGCCTTTCATTAGATCGTGATCGAGAACGTGATCGCGAACGGGATCGAAGAGAAGCACGACGACGACGGCTCTCTCGCGGTTGATTTTCTTTGTCAGCAATAGTCCTCGGAGGAGGACTTGCACTGCGAACGTGAGATCCAGCTTGAGAATAGTGGGTAGGAATAGATGGTGGCGTTTCACTTTTAATTGTAGCAGGGTAATGAACAATTTGGCTCGTTGTTTCAGATTTTAAATTAGCAGATATGGTACTATTGCCGAGTAATTCTTTTTCTTTATTCTAAAAAAAAAAAGGATTTGTGAAAAATGCAAATAAATTTCTTCGCAAATTTATAACTTACGTCATCTATTGGTAGAGTTTGAACTTTCTCGGCACAAACAGTATTCGGCAGGTTATCAATTTTCAATGGAGGTTCTGTAATGTGTGCTCCTTCAATAGATACATTTCTGGTATCAATATTATTGGGAGCGACTTCTTCCCCAACAAAATTTCCACTGCTTAATTTTGGTGAGGGTAGTAAGATATCAGTAAAATAATCCTCAGTGTTAATGGCAGTAAATAGCCTCTCTACAAAAGGTTGTGTTTCCTCACCAAGGAAAACATCAAGTTGTTCTATCATTAATTTTTTTAATTCTTTTTCTGGTTTATCTTTCTTAAGCAGCGCCAACACATAGCGGGCAAGGGCAGAAGAATCCGCATCGCATCTATAATAAAAAAGTCACAATATATACACGGTTTACTTTGTAATCAGTACTCATACTTACAAAGGTTCCAATACGACAACGAGCCAGCTTTTCAGAGCTTCCTGATTTTTTACGATCATCTTAATAATGTTTCTCAGTGTTTTTCATAAATTAATAACTTTGCCTTGTTTTGATGTGATTTTTAAAATACAATACTAATAAAATTTGGCTATACACTATAATATTATATATTCTCTTTAAGATACCCAATCAGCTTTTTTCTAAAAACAAACAAAAATATAAAAAAATTCAACGTTAGAAGACTAGATATAAATGAACTTTAAAATGTTAATCCTTTGTGGGGTAGCAGTTTTAAATGCATATGCGAATACTCGTCATATTATTAAGATCATTACTTTTGCGTGCACCAATCAACGAGTGAAAAATTTCTGGATTTTACTACTCGTTATTACGTTACCATATGCGATAATACAGAAAATTCCATCTAGAATACAATTTCTGAAGTTGTTTAATTTTTTGATTTCAGACTTTCAGTTATAACCCTTTACGTCCCGTTGTGAACAATTTTCAATATTTTAGCTATTTTAATTTATACAATTTCCATCCAAATATAGACAGTCTCGTTGGACACCTATTAAGCGAACGAATATAGTCGATACTTGAGTTGACAGCATTTATTCGATATTTTTCGTTTAACACATAAATACACTGGTACACAATAGGGGGATTCTCATGGTCTTGGTAGATTGCAGATTGCAAAAATTCTATACCGAAATATACACGGACACGAGAGCACCCATTGCAGAATCTAGTGATATATGAACGGCTGATTCGGTCAATTTATTGTAAATGAGCATTGTGCATGGCTATTGTGAACTGGCGCACCTTCTCCATTCATTCTTAACAGTAAAAACTGTATACAATTTTTATAATTTAAGTAGATATTATAAATCTATTTAAAATTTACCTTCCTCAACAATTTAACGACGAAATATGTCTTTATGTAAAATGACAGCTTAAAACAGGGTTGCAATTATATTTTTAAGTGTCATAGCTCAAAAATAAACGTGATTTTTAATCGGAAATTAAAAATTAATTAAATAATTTTCTACGTGTGATTGTTGCTGTGCCGTTGATTAGGTGAAAAATCTACAACTTGTGCACCGTGCGAGGGTTTCGCAAGAGCAAGAGAATCCCCTTATTGAAAACCAGTTTTCGCTGAAAACTATTTGCAGACTTACATTCCACTCATTATAATCAGTGCCTGCTCTAGTTTAATAGATTTTATTGGAAGACATATTTTGACATCCCTTAATTGTCATGTGATATTTATTTAAGATAAGATAAGATAAAGAATGAGGATTGCACCGCGACCTAGGGTCTATTGTGCCCCCTACCAACTCACAGCGTCTCACTTAGCCCCAGCAAATTCTTGAATCCCAATATCCTGCAAGGTGCTAATGCGGGGATATGATCCCTATTTAGAAACATGGATCCAAGGGCCTTAATCCGTCTGCAGATTGCTGGGCAATCCATTAGCAGGTGTTCTGGAGTTTCGGATTCCCAGTCGCAGAACCGGCAATTTGCGCAAGAAGCTAGGCCCATGTTAAATAAGTGCTTCTTGAGTTTGCAATGGCCGGTGTAAAAGGCGACCAGTAGCCTGACTTTATCTCTTGGGAGATTGATTATGAGTTTAAACCTCTTGAGGTTGTAACCCTTCATTAGCAGCTTTGCGTGGCGCAAGCTTGAAAGTTGTTGCCAATGTATCTCCCTACTCACTGCTGCATCCTTGCGGAACTGTTCCTTTATGGTGTGGGGACCTACCGCTATGAAGGGTTCTGGYCCTACCATGTTGGTGGATGCTGCAGAGCGGGCAAGCTCATCGCCCAGTTCGTTTCTAGCAATGCCTTTGTGGCCCGGCACCCAAATAAGGTGCACTTGGTTGCATTCTGCCAGACTATTCAGCCGGTCTATACACTCCTGCACCAATAGCGATTTTACCTCGTATGATGAGATCGCCCTGAGTGCCGCTTGGCTATCGCTTAGTATGGCTATACGGTCGTTGCGATAGCCGCGATGGAGGTTTAACTCTACGCACCGACTTATAGCAAATATCTCCGCTTGGAATATGCTCGGAAACCTTCCCATAGGTATGGAGATTTTTGCACGTGGTCATGCGACCCCTGCACCAATTCCCTCCGAAGTTTTCGAGCCGTCGGTGTACCACCTGATCGAGCTATCCYTGAGTAGTAGCTCGAGAGTGGAGTCGCTCCAATCGGCCTTGTTGCCGAGGGTGATCTTAAACTTTTTAGTGAAGTTTAACTTTTTGGTAATGCAGTCCCTAGGAAGAAGAGCCAGTGGTATGGTGCCGCTTAGCTCTTCCATACGTTGGGACGAGATCAATTTACCTTTGCCAGCTCCCTCTGCTGTCATTTGAAGCAGAGTGTCCTTGGCGACTTGACCAATTACTAGGTGCAGCGGGGTGAGCTCCAGCATTTCCTCAAGTGCCGCTGTCGGGCAGGTACGCATTGCTCCTGTCATACAGACACATGCAAACCTTTGCAGTTTCGACAGTTTAAGATTAGCCGTCGATTGCAATGCTTTCGATGCCCATACCACCGCTCCATAAGTTATAATTGGTCGCACTATCATAGTGTACAACCATCTAATAATCCTTGGTTTGCACCCCCAGGATCTACCAGCCAGCCGGTTGCGCACCATTAGATCCTTTGTAGCATTGATCATGGTCAGGTCGATATGCTGCTTCCATCTTAGCGTGGAATCCAGCGTGAGACCTAGGTATTTGACCATATTTGTCATCACTATCTCTCTGTCTCCGAGCGTTAAGTTCCTTAGGCCCGGCAGAGACCTGCGCCTCGTAAACGGGACGATGGTCGTTTTCAAGGGGTTGATGTTTAGTCCGACACTATTACACCAACCCTTGGCCAGGCCTAGTCCCCTTTGTACGAGATCGCAGAGAGTACTCACAAATTTTCCTCTGGCTATAATAACAATGTCGTCCGCATATCCTTGACAGCGGATTCCATTGTTAGTCAACAGCACCAGCAGCTCGTCCACGGCTACGCTCCACAACAGGGGGATAGCACGCCTCCCTGTGGGCGGCCCCTTGTAGTACAGAGACGAATACTGGTGCCTCCTGGTATAGGGCGGTGTTCGTCGATCTGCCTGCTCTGTATGCATGCTGGAATGCAGTTATAAGAGCCTTCGATCTTATTTCCTGGTCTATGATCTTTTCCATGATTCTTAGCAAGAAGGAGGTTAGACTGATCGGTCCAAAGGATTTAGCCAGCGAATAGTCTTGCCTTCCCACCTTCGGGATAAAGATCACCTTAGCAATCCTCCAGGGTTCAGGGATGTACGCCAGCGCCAGGCTATCTCTCATCACATGTACAAGGTGTGGCAGTAGAGTCTGCTCACCTTGTTGTAGAAGTGCCGGGAAGATGCCGTCCGCTCCCGGGGACTTGAATTTGGCGAACGAGGCCGTGGCCCACCTGACTGAGTCCGCAGTAAATAATTTCCTTGCAAGCACCCAGTCCAGGCGAGATGGCCTGTGCTCTACTATAGGTAGGCACCGGTCCACCGCAACAGTCTCCGGAAAATGCGCTCGTAGGAGTGCCGCCGCTCTCTCCTCCGCATTTGTCGTGTTGGTCCCAACACCTTTTT